ACGAAAACAAAAACAGCAACAACAGCAACAAAGCAATGGAGATCATCATCATCATTGGTGGACCCACACGCGGTCGTCGGCACAGAGTTCCGAGAATCAAAACAACAATACAACAACAACAGCACCAAACCAAATCAGGATAAGTTTTTCCACAGTCGGCAGTGTCTGGACCACACAACTGCGAGCGACCACCAACATGATGCCAGACGAGACGAGCCGCGGATTCGATGACACGACACGAGACGACAGTGACTGTCTTTCGCCGCTCTCAAGAAACAAACAAGAGGACGACGGATCGAGTATCCGAACTTCCATGGCAGTCGTCGATGGAGATGACGACAATGAAACGGAGGATCCTCCGGAAAAACGACGCAGTACCGTACGTTTCAACGGCGAAGATCTAAATGACTCGGAAAACAATAACAATAACAACAACGACACTGTCCGAAAGGTAACTCGGCGTCGTCGTCACAGCAGCGTTCGAAGCCGGTCAACCACAACAACAATAAAAATCCGCCCCCTTTGATGATGGTCTCTACGAGTCGGCCACCGGAATGGAAACTACTCTTGAAAATGATGGATCTCGAACACAGTTTATCAGCCATCAACAAGAATATCATGTCCGGTCGCCCGGTGTCGGAAGGAGACTGGGAAGAAGTCCGAGCCATGTTATCTCGGTTGGGACGAATCTTTGACGAACAAATCATTTTCGAATGGGACCAAGAAACTGCCGCCGTTCGTAGACCGCAACCATCACGAGCTTGCGTCGTCGAGACAAAAGAAGACAAAATGACAAGAGACATTTCGTTGCGCATTCTAGACTTGGTTTGCGAAGACGAAGCTGCGGAAGATGTGGAGGATTCCATTTCCGTGTACATGAACGCTTCGTTGCATTCAGCGGCAATAGAAGAAATGCAGAGCACACACTTTGGCACTGCTACTAATCCACTGGCAGTTTCTCCACGGGAAAAGCTACAAGAGCCTGATTTCAGCAAACTCGGTGAGGTACTGTGCGATGGACCGTTGCGGTTCAGCCCGGAAGTCGCGGAACGAAGCATAGTGCAACAGGTGCAGGCACTCCCTGTCATGGAACAGGAGTCGTGCCTGCAGCTGAAGAAGGATTGGGAAGATGATCTCGATCATTCTGCAATGGAAGGAGAATCCCATGCACGGCAAAAATTGTTGTCGGATGAAATGATCCTCCGCTTCCTCCGTCATTCCGAAGGTCGCGACGCCAGGCATTTGCAACTGGCGACATGGAGAAAATAAACAGTTGACCAAAATACCAGTCTCTCACGGCTAAATCCTTGGACGAACAAGTGAGCACCAAAACTCTCTTCCCACTTCCTGGCATCAAGACGTTGGAGGGTGGCTGTGACTGTTTCTACATGCGACCTTGCCGTTTCAACCCAAGAGACTGTCGACCACATCAGTCATCAACAACTTGGTTTACTGCATGAGCACAATGCTGGAAAAAGAGGATGCTTGCACGAATGGGATTGGTTTCGTGGCATGCATGGATTCGTGGACAATGAAGCACTTCAGTCCCGACTATTGCTTCCAGTTCATGCAAGGGCTCCAGGGGTACTTGACTCCTGTCAAGGTAGTGCTCTTCCTGATCGTAAACCCGCCACCGTGGTTCGGAAAGGTATGGGCTATTATGAAGCCAATGCTGTCCAAGGAGTTTCAAAAGAAGGTGAAGATGATACCTGAATGTCAATTGGATCAGTATCTGGAACCGGGCTTTCAGCAGTACTTGCCAGATGACATGATGACGGGGCAAGCAGACACAGGCGAGCTAGTGAGGGATTGGCTGACCTATCGCAACTATCTCGAGAGCAACACTGTGGAGACATTAAGCAATTCTGCTAGCTCAGAGGATGATGCCTTGTGCAGGAGGTGTGAATGGCCGTGATGACTTGTGCAAGATGACCTCTCACTGGCTCCTATCTAAAGGAGCCATGTCCTCAAAGCACCCCTCCATATTGATGTTGATGCCGTTGTCCAGCTAAAGATGACTGCGACACAATAAAACAGTTCTTCTAGTTGTTTAAGTACCTATAGAACAATGTAACATAGAATCGAATCACTGTTTTGTCGAATTGGTGATATCAAAAATCACTGCTCCAACCAAAACATCATGTGATTTCAGAGAAGGCCCCCCCAGCTACAAAAGAATACAACACTGTTTGGTTGGTGGCTGTCAGAGTTGATCCATCCAGGGTAGGTCTTGACACCATCACCCCAAATGTCAGACACAACCAGTCTGTAGGCTGCGTCAGTGTTCACTTGTAAGAGAGAGGAGTAAAGAAAATCTTTACCGCCGAGTGGACCACCTGATTCCAATGTGTACCCAAACGACTGGCATACTTTTCCAATTTTTGTCGCATCAAACGGGAATGTTCACAGACCAATTCCGACACGACAATGGTTTCTCCCCGCCATGCCATTTTGAGTTTGGGCAGCATGAGGCGCAAGGATGCCTGCAATGTGGCACAGAGAATGACCATGACACAGACCAGATATTCCAGGGACGGATCATTATTATGACTGCCAGTGCCAGTCGATCCAATCAAGAGAAATCCCGCTCCCACGGCCAACAATGTCAAGGACGACAGTACGGAATCGAAAATGACACGTGATTCATTAAAGAGACTGGGCAATCGTCTTGTGTATCGTGCCATGAGGAGGAGACTGATCATGAGTCCCACGAATACGAGGCATCCGTAGAAAAAGAAGGAGCCGCCCACGGCCGTGCTGCTACGACAGTATTGTCGTGCCGTGTCATCATTGTCATTGTCATTGTGGAGCGCCAATGTGATTTGTCGTGGTTGAAGTGTGGCACCGAGCAATTGCAACAGAACTTGGGGGACGGTAAACAGGGTCACGACCAAGACGAGTTGCAGTTCGGAAATGCTCTTGCGGAGGGACGTGGGTCGACTCTGGTTTTCCCACGTGACGACGTAGGAGGTGAGTTTTTGAATGGGTCGAAACAAGAGCGTTTCCATCATGGTATCACTGGTACTGGTGGTTCGACGACGTTGGTCGGTAGTATTCGTATTTGTAGTAGTATGATGTGTGAGTTTCATGACGGCCGGACTGACAATGGCATGAATCCTCCAAACACGGCCGAGTGTAATGGCATAGAATAGTTGCAGACTGCAAAGGACGAGAGGTGCACCCCATTGGCAGTAGGCATCCTGTTTTGGATCCAAGAGAAAACTCGCCGTGGTGGCCACGACACCCGCCAAGAGAAAGACGGACAAGAATCGGCCCTGCGAAACTTGCAGTACTTGGGAGTGTCGATATCGTATGGATTGGAAGAGTAGCCAAAGCAAGACACTGGCTCCAATGGCAATGGTCACGTAGGAACCAATTCGAATTTCTGGTGTCACTCCCTGGATTTGGACGGGTTCCTGAAAGCGTAGTAGTACTTTGGTTTCTTCTGTCATGGCATGATTGGCCATTTCCAGTACTCGTCCTTGTTGATCTTGTTCTTGTTTGATCCGTACCATGGCAATGACAACATAGTCTCCCGGAACTTCTACACGGAATGGAATTGTTTCCTGGAATTGATGGATACTGGCACCAGCTGTATCGTTGGACATATTCAGCTGCCTTTCTACCCAGGGGCTTTGGATCAATTGTTGTTCCACAGAATGTGGAATGGACATGGACTGCTGAGATTCCTGTATTCTTTTTGCCGCATTGTAGTCGTCTACCACTTGTGGACTGCACATTCCCCCCAAGAGTCCCACCCCACAGGCCACAAAGGAGACCTCCACATCTACTATTGTTTCTGATGTCCATGATGATGATACATCAAACCCCAAGCTGGTCAAGTTCAGTTCCACCGTTGCCGTGTAGTTGTACGCCACTCCTGTGCGTAGTACATGGTCGTCGTCAGATAGTGTTGGAGCCTCGCCGACGAGCGCATTTCCCACGGGACACGGCACGAGTCTCTGTCGTTCTTGTTGTTGTGTGAACCAACAAATGGCGTCCGTCCCAAACAGAGTGTCGTAGCCCTGGGCCTTTGCAATCTCCAGACTCCTTTCAATCGCTCTTTGCTGTTTATGGCTATTACTATTAGTATGAGAAGTTGCACCCCGCAAAGATTCCAACGATGCCAAAGACAAAGATACTACTTCTACTACTGGTAGCACAACAAGTAATGGCAACAAGCACAAGGAGAGACGCTCCCACATCATCATCATTATTTTTGACAGTAAATATGCCCTCCGAGTTGAGTCCTTGCAAAAGACGTGAAAGACAGCAAAAGCACCAAGTGACAAAAGCTACGAACACACGAACACATATAAAGAAAGGGAATTTCAAGATTTAAAGACCAACATCAACCACCGATTCGATTCTCTGGTACCAGTACCGGTACAATGACCGTTTACGGTACCGTCATGTGGCCTTAACCTTAAATAATGTCACACGTCAACCATTGAACTTCCTTCTTTTTCGATCTTTGCCAAAAGGCGACGACGAACCCGAGACGCTGCATGTCATGTATATATCCATGCCAGCAGAATGATATCAAATGGAATCGAATCAGATATCGGCACAATTATTTAGTATTTGTTTGCACAATTGACTCATTATTCGCTAATAGCACTCGCCTCCAGTCCAATACTACGGTAATAGCCAGCTAGCAATATACTGTAGTATCAATTATTGTCAGGATGAAAGACGGAAAGAGCACTGTTCATAGTGCTCCCGATAAGGAAGGCGGTCACTCCTTGGGCGGAAATGACCTCGACACAGATAGCGGAAAGGCATCAGAAGGACTGTCACTCGACCCTGTCATCAGAGATACTCTGATGAAAAGAGCCGAGGCAGAAGCTGCACAACGGAAAATGGATGAAGGAACGACCATTGCCAGAGCGTTCAAAGACAAACAAGCCGTCAAGAAAACAGTCACCAAGAACAATACTAATATGGGGGCCAATCCACAGTTGCCAAAAGGCACAGGGAAACCCAAACAAGAACAACAAGATGAACAAGAAGAAATGATGCAAATTGTGGCAGATCAGGCCAGTTTGGCGGTCGCCGAACAGCTCAATGCCACAGAAGATATCCCATGTCAAGAAAAACAAAACACTGCTATTATTAGCGACCACCACCTCATGCAGTTGGCAGTAGAAATCACTGAAGCGGACAAAATGAAGAAATTTGAAACTGCTGCAGATTCTGGTAATGATCTAAACCGGCATAGTGCAGAACTTGCAGTACAACCAGAACCTATACCACTACAGAGGCAACAAAATCAGCCGTCGAGACCAGGTGCCTACATGGGTTTACCGGGAGAAGCCTTACAACGTGCAACTACCCTACAATATTCCCTTGTTGGTGCCAGTGCCACTGGTCAGGGTGAACCATTAGTGCAGATAGATGATCCCGACGATTCTCCTCCACTGGATGAACCACATGATGCGGGACCACCCAGCAGAAGCACAACCAACAACAACGTTCCATCAAATGACCCAAACTTGGCAGTGGCCAATCTTGTTCTAGAAGATTCAGAGGAGGAACAGACTAGGCCCGCTGCAGATCCAGTCGATCTACAGCATGTCCAGCAGAGAGAACAAAAGAGGAAGAAACAGAGGCTGATGTTTATTCTCTTCTTTGTCCTGTTGTTCATTGTGGCAGCAGTCGTTGTGGGAGCCGTGGCAGGAACCCAAAAGACGGAGCCAGAAGTGGCTGTCTCCCTATCATCAAACGCTCCGACGGTTTCTGGGTCCATGACTCCTTCTGGAGTACCATCATCTGCCCCCACTGGGGTTCTAGACTTGCTATTCGATAGTCTCCCTGACTACACTCTGGCCAGCATCAACAATGGCAGTGAGACCCCTCAGTGGAGAGCATGGCAATGGCTAGCCAATCACCAAAACATCACATTTCTTCCAGATTGGAGAAAGACACAGCTCTTTGCCCTTGCTACTTTTTTCTATGCTTTTGAAGGAGAAAGTTGGAATCCATTAATCAGGGGACATGGATGGATGGACGACACAGTTGAAGAGTGCCTCTGGTTCTCAAGTGGATTTGGTTTCTTTTTCCTTTGGGATGGAAAATACTATGAATTGCAAGACTCTACACCTCCCTGCAACAGCCAAGGACAATTGACATCTCTGGATCTGCAAGAGCTGCACCTCTCTGGTCCCCTCCCATCTTTGCCGCCTGGGATTGCACCCTTGACTACCTTGGATGTTCTTCCCCCATTTTTGCCACCTGAGATAGCGCTCTTGACTTCCTTGTCTCGTGTGTCTCTTGGCAACAATGATATTGCTGGACCACTTTCATCTCTGGTACCAACAGAACTTTATGAGATTACTCGATTGACATATTTGGTTTTAAACCGAAATCAGATCACTGGGAAAGTTCCCTCTGAAATGTTTGCAATGACTGCCTTGACTGAGTTGTGGATGAACATTAATCTGCTGACTGGTCAAGTCCCTTCCGAGCTTGGGCTCCTGACCTCATTGGAGCGCCTCTACTTGGAACGCAATCAATTGGCGGGTCCAATTCCTTCCGAGCTTGGGCTCCTGACCTCATTGGAGCGCCTCTACCTGGAACGCAATCAAGTGGCCGGTCCAATTCCTTCAGAGATTGGGCTCCTGGCCTCATTGGAGCTCCTCTCCCTTAGTGAGAACCAGTTGTCTGGTCCCATTTCTTCCGAGCTTGGGTTCCTGACCAAATTATTCTGGCTTGAACTTTCTGAGAATCAGTTTTCCGGACCATTTCCGTCAGAACTTGGGCTCCTGAACTCATTAGGCCTGCTAAAACTTACTCATAATCGGTTGAGTGGTCCACTTCCTTCTGAGCTGAGGCTCCTGACCTCATTGCATTCCCTCGACCTTCATGATAACCAGCTATCTGGTCCAATTCCATCTGATCTTGGGCTCCTGACCTTATTGAAACAGCTTCGCCTACAGGAGAATCAGTTTACGGGTCAATTTCCTTCAGAACTTGTGCTCCTAACCTCATTGAACGATGTTCCAATTTATCATAATCAATTAACCGGTCCAGTTCCTTCTGAGCTTGGACAGTTGACTGCTTTTTATTGGTTCTCTTTGCATCAAAATCAGCTCACTGGTCAACTCCCTTCAGAGCTTGGGCTCTTGACCTCATTGGTAGCCCTACGGATTAATCAGAATCGCTTGACGGGGACAATTCCTTCCGAGCTTGGACTCCTGACCGGGTTGTACCAGCTTCACCTTTCTGATAATCAGTTGACAGGTCGAGTTCCTTCTGAGCTCAAGGCATTTCCTGCTTTGGAAGCGATCTCGTTGAATGACAACCAGTTCACTGGTCAGGTGCCTATGGAGCTTTGGCTTCTGCCAGCGTTTGAGCTTCACCTCTCTGACAATAAGTTCACTGGAACAATCCCGACTGAAGTTGGTGTGAAGACATCTTTGACAACTCTGCGTCTTCACAATAATATCCTGACAGGAACATTGCCCAGCCAACTGAATGCATCAATGGGATTGACTCTATATGGGAACCAGTTTTCAGGAACTGTCCCAGGGCGTCTTTGCTCTTTTCTAAGGTGTGATTGTTCCCTAAATGAAAGTCCTCCCGTTTCCACTTGTGCTGACCTCACAAAAGCTCCACCGGATTGGCCTGGTCAGTTTCCAACCAAAGGTGCTGATGTCATTCTCAATATCCAAACTGATAATGATCCACTGGAAACATCATGGGTCTGGCAGAAGGAAACCAATGTGACTGGTGTTTGGGACGCATTGGATTCAGGTGGTCCACTCTACCGTAAACATTTTCGTTATTCCTCTCTCTTCCCAGTGAACACTGACACAGCCTACAGACTGATTGTGTTTGACCGTTTTGGTGATGGTGTCAACAACCCTGGATGGATCACTCTGACAGCCACCAACCAAACAGTGTTGTATTCTTTGGTACCTGGGGAGGCCTTCTCTGAAATCACCATTGACGTTTTGGTTGGAGCAGATGGATCTTTTGATATCACCAATTCTGCAACTCGGTGATTCAATTCTATGTTACATTTTTTAAATGATAGGTAAACAACTAGATGCACTGTTTTGTTGTGCTGCAGTCATCTATGGATTCTACAGTAGCTAGCTAGATAGTCACTGCAACAGTTCGCCCTGGCTTTCGAATTCCGAGGGAAATTTCACACTCGAATCAAGAATTCACAGTCAAGTCCAAGCGCAATTGCGTGAACTGGTTCACTGCTTTTGAATGAATATGAACTAGCTAGACCTCAATCTCGATCCTTCCCTACGGCGCAGCGAATGGAATGGCCCGGTTCAATGAATTCTGCCTACCTTGCTACATGTAGCTAGCTACATGTAAGAAGAGTCGACCACTCCGTTCCATTCTGGAAAGTCGCGGGTGTCCATCAATTAAAATTAAGCAAGAATTTAACTTGACTCGACGCATGGCCAAAATAGGCGTTGTTTGGCAGTGTCGTTGGAACAAACACGAGAGAAACTTGTGAATTACCTCCTTAAGGATGTCCCACGGGGGATACAGTGCGTTTTAGTTTTAAGATTATATTTGCTCACTTTTTCGAAAGCTCTCCAAATAGATAAACTTTTCATTAGCTCTTATATCCACCCTATGATTTCGTGGGAATTTGGAACTTCCGACATCCTCATTCCATATTCGAAGCATGTCTCGCCATTCACCTCCGCTGAAATGTTGGCTTTGCGCCTCACAAAGTTGGCTGCCTGCTTGGCTAGCTATTGGCTTTTAGCTAACCATGAATGGAGGGACAGGTACATTCTTATCGATGAACATGTCGGCATTACCAAATTTCTTGCAGAGTGCCATCACCAGACAACAGTAACAACCACAACCACAAATGCGACCATGGACAACAGTGGTAGAAGCAACAACTCCTCCTTGAGGAAGCTAGACCAGCACGGTCGGTTTGGTGGTCTAGCTTGGAATCGGCAACGTCTCAATACAGGATGTTCTGCGAAGGTTGATCTTGTGGAGGGAATTGATGCCGTTGCAAGGGTATCCACCACCATTGCCCGTCCCTGTAAAAGAAAAGTCACCACTCAAAATGACAAAGAGTCAGCGACATGTACACAGGACACTGCGGCAGGTGGCTCCCTACGTGGAATACGTAGTAGAAGGGTACCTGCATGACAATTTGATGGAAGAGATAAGACTGACATATATTGGAAGGGAAGACGAGTTGAAGCAGTGGCATGACAGTATAGTC